TCCAATTTTACCTCTTGGCAGCTATGTGATCACTTAGCTTCTCAATTCCTCACGTACTTCATTAGACTATACCTACATTAGTGAAGGGAATTTCTATATGGGAGTTCCCCCATATCAATCAGTGAAATTCTAGGTCTCGACCAACCCTGGATCTGCCTTTTGTCCCTTCCACTCATCGCTCCTGCCATGTAGAGACCACGCAGAGCCAGAAACATCTCTCTTCTCTATGCCAGGCCTTCAAATAATTGAAGAGATCTGTCATGCCCATTCAGCCCCTCACCTCCAACATTTTCTTCTCCCCCATTAAACATCCCCAGTTCCTACAACCACTGTCTATGAATCAATCTCCAAGACACGTGGGGATTCCCAGATTGGGATATGGTGCCATGGCAAACAAGAAGCAAAAGTGAGCTTCTTCGTCAGGTGAAAACTTGAGAGCTTCATTGTGGCCCCACCTCATAAGCCCCCACCACAAAATGCTGGTGGTTCTGAGTTAAACGGGCCCAGGTGCCAGATCATCAAAGTCTGAATACAGTGTTTAGCCATTTTGGTTCTGGAGTAATTGCTGTTATCGTAAATGCTTTATAGCTCTCATTATAGCCCACATTTAAATATCAATATAATAATACATTAATAAGTCATCTGTGCAGTGTTGCTGTCTGCTGTAGTTACAGTTGAAGCCCAGTGTTTAATTGTACCATACATGCAGCCAAATTAGGGCCTGGCCATTTGCTGGAGATCTCCCTGGGTTGTTTGGTAAATGCTGTCACTGCAAATGGAAGGAGGGAAGACGGGAGGTGGGGGGTGAGGGGTGGGAGGAGAAGGTCTCTATTATTTAAAGGGCCTGTAGGTCTTTGCATTTATGAGGCAAAGAAGCTATTCTAGTGAGCATCTGGCAGTCAGTCAGTTTGGTTCAACACAACACACGTTTATTAGGCAAGGCACTGCGTGAGACGCTACCGGTGTTATTGTTGTGGATGTCCTTTGGTAAGGGCTCTGCGCTAAAAAGAAGAAAATAAAAAACACGGTCATCTGTCTTTGGGGAATTCCCAAACTGATGGGGAAGCTGGAAAGGATGTTAAAAGTCTAGTTCAGCTTCTTCGTTTTACAGATGAAGAAACTAAGGGCCAGAGAGATGAAGCAATCTTTCCAGGCTCATGAAAGTACTAAGTGGCAAGGCCAGGATTCACATCAGTCAACAAAGAAGCATGTATTAAGTGACTTCCACATATCAGGCATTACTGTACTAGGCAATGGAGAAAAAGTGCAGAGAAAAAAATAATCATTATATTATAATAAGAGAAACAAATGTACACATACAACACGAATGTAAAATTAATAAATACAAATGCATAGATCGAGGCGTCCCAGAAGTCTTAGTTCAGTTTTAAGCTTTAGTAACTTCAGAAATATAAATACTGCATATATAACCTATACCAAATTGCTTACCATTTTAGGAAGAGGGGAAGGAGAAAAATTTGGAACTCAAAGTCTTATAAAAATGGATGCTAAAAATTGTCTTTATGTATAATTAGTGAAAAACAAAATACTGTTTTATAAAGTTAAAAGAGAAATATAAATGTTACAAATTCATAAAAACATACTTTAAAAGTTAGTTATTTAACATTTTTAACGTGATGTTTAATTGATTTTAAAACTTTGTAAAGACTTTCATCAGCTGCTGCTTAGTGACTGAAAGGATTGCTTTTGTAATCCTGGCCTTAAGAAAAACGAGGGTTTGATGCATGCGACAGCTTTGACGTGACCCCACAAGTAAAAGTCTAATGGAGATAGATCAGGGGACTGAGGTGGCCAAACCAGGGGACCTCCTTTACCACTCCACTGGTTTGAGAAGGCCTGTGTGCCCAGTATCTCCATATGAGGCAAAAAGAAAAACCGCATGGAGCCAAAATCTATAAGTGGGGGAAGGGCGGCAATCAAGGAACCCTTTTGATCAGCTCCCTGCACAGAAGTCCCACACGAAGGTTGACCTCTGAGTTAATTCATTAAATTGATCGGAGAATTCAAAATCACAGGATGAAGGGAATTCCCTGACTAATTGCATAGAATCTGGGAAATGAGGGAGCTCCTTTGATCGGTCCCCCTGTACCAGGGTTACGAAATTAGACTCGGGCTATGCAGCTCTCGTGTTGAAAGGGCTTGAGAAGTGGCAGGAATGAGTGAGGTAAGGTAGATGGTGAACCAAAGAAAGAATTGAAAAAGACAAGTTGTGAGTTATCGAGGCATCCTTGTTCTTAATGTTCTGCCTCAGGGTGACCCTTAAATCTTGCTCTGCTGAGTGTCCCAGTATATACCTCTTTCACTAACCCATGGGGCTCAGCCCTTTCCACTTCTGGCTGGGTAAATGTGAAACACCAAACTGCCACTTCTCTCATTCCTTGAGAGCCAACCAGGTTCCTGTTTGAGGATGGCTTAGGCGGTAGGGCTCCAGCAATAACCAGAAAGGATTTTGTTCGGAAACCTGCTTTGGCTTGGTTGTAGGAGAGGGACGTAAGCCCATCAGAAGATTATGGATTAGGTCAGTTACAGAAAAGCCTCTGCTTATATTTCAGTGGGGTGGGGGACAGACTGTCTGTGTAGGGATAGACAATTTACACATGTAGAACACCAGGCCGTTTGACAGTCTCTTGGCATTCATACCATACCACTGGTAACATTTCCCTCCCAACATCTGGAAAAGAAGGGTTTTTCCCTGTCCTTATAGCCCTTAAGCAAAACTGTGCCTAGATCTGAAGATGAAGGAAGAGGGATGTCCCAAGCATTCTCCTCTGAGGCTTCAGCCAAGGCTCAGCTGGTGCCACCAGCAAACCCAAACCAGTAGGGCACGAATGACGGGCTTTGTGATGTGGCCAAGCCTGGTGTCTCAGAAGGCCAGTTCTCTGAGGGCAGAAGGTAAAAATAGCCCTCCTTTGCTGAAGCAAGGGAAACCTCCAGGGAGAGGACACTTTCCTACTACTAGAAAAATGGTGGAGGGACATGCAGAGAGGTGCTAGTGTAGGGAGGAGCGAGGTGAAAAAGGATAATGGGGTCCCTAGTAAACTGTGGAGTAATGGAGGACAATATAGAGTGACAGGATTGTAAAGTTGGACGATGCCTTAGAGACCTTCCAATCCAACTCCCCCCCAACCCCGACACACACACACACACACACACACACACACACACACATACACACACAGAGGTTTGTTTTTATGTTTGGGTATCAAAGTTGTCACTTGCACCCAAGGTTACGTGGTAAATAGCACTGCTGAGAGTAAACAAAGAAGAAATTCTGTCAAAAAGCTACACCCACATCCTTATTTTCAAATTCCTCTTCATCTTGTGGCTTAAAAAGCCATGAAACTGGGCAGGGGCTGGGGGTGGGGGTGGGGTACACTGTTAGTCTCAGAGCTGTCATCTCCAAGGATGAGGACGGCAGAAATGGATTCCTCATTCCCATATCCAAACAATCCAATCCTCCCTCACTTGACCCTGCCCCTCAGAGGGTTTTTGCTTTTGTCTCTTTTATTAATTTCCATTTCCCATGGAATCTTTGATGAACTTTACAGCTTCTAATCTGTCAAGGAGTCATCGATGTAATTAGGAGCAGTACAGATGAGGGCAGCCTGCCCTAGACAACTCACACAGCCAGTTTGTTTATAGAAGAAAATATTAATCAGCTCCCTTGACTCAGAGCAAACTGCCTGGGATCTCCTCTTTTAGGGAGTGGGACTAAGGATTACAGTTCACCTGCTAGAAGCTGAGGGTTTGTCCTAAGAGGTCCATCCATCTAGGCTCAGGATTTATAAGGATGGACATTTTTCCACTGAGCTAAGGCCCGAGTTCAAATTCTGCCTCAGACACCTGGTACCTGTGTGACTCTGGGCAATTTCCTCAGTCTCAATTCCCCAATCTATAAAATGCAGAAATTGGACTCAATGGCTCTAAGGTCCCTTCCAGCTCTAAACTTATAATCCTATAATCTCTAGTATATTCATCCTATAATGTTATGTATTCTAGGTATCTGTGCTCATAACAACCCCCTACTGCTTACACAGTGGTTGCAAACTCTTTTATATCTCCCTAGCTTCCTTTAAAAAAATAATGTTAAAAACTTATTATTGTTACTGGTGGCAAGCACCTGCGGTCACTACATCACAGCTGAGGCTGAGCCTGAGCCCCACTCCCCCATCCCTGGGAACAGGGGGCCAGGTCAGAACTTCTGTGAAGATCATCAGTGGAGTCAGGCTTGTCAACGGACACGGTATTTCCAACCTGGGCAAGACAGGAAGATCCAGTCTTTTTTTTTTTGTTTTAAAGTTTGCTATTGTTCTATAAGCACTGGGTTATCTAGCATTCCTTGAGATCCAAGGAGAGAGTTGTTAATGAATGGGGGATCAGGGAAGGCTGCATGGAAGAGGTGGCATTTGAGTTAGATCAGTGATTCATTATAAAATTATAGAGAAAGAGACCAACAGAGTGTTGTAGTATTCAGAAGGAATCTGGAGGTGCTGAGAGGAAGACAGGGTTTGTCCACCTGGGGAAGTGAAGGATTTGATGGGCACTCCTCTGCATTTTTTTTTTTGGCATTTGGGGTTAAGTGACTTGCCCAGGGTCACACAGCTAATAAGTGTCAAGTGTTTGGTCTGAGACCGGATTTGAACTCGGGTCCTCCTGACTTCAGGGCCGGTGCTCTATCTGCTGCGCCACCTGGCTGCCCCACTCCTCTCCATTTTTGGTTGTCGAGTGGCGAGGCTACCCAGATTGGATTGGCTGTGTTAGAGCCAGCCTCGCCATTCCTAGTTCTGCTGTCACCGGTAGGCCAGTAAGTGCGGCTGCCCAGCCCATCCCCTCGATAATCATAGGCTGCCGATTTATGGGTGCTCTCGTAATCTTCCCCTGTCCCCACGACATTGCCTCGTGTAAACAGCCCTCTGCCCGCCAGCACAGATCCATCGATCGCCTCGTGACATTTTGTTCCTCCTCTTCTGTCTCGACAGAACTCTCAACAACAATAACATCAGCCGTATCCCAGTCACCAGCTTCAATCACATGCCGAAGATCCGCACCCTGTGAGTATTTACCTCCCGCGTGCTCCCCTCCTCTGCCTATCCTGCCCCGTCGTGGGTACTGCAGGCCTCCCCATGCTGAGCCTCCGGGAACCTCGGACGGTGTCACCTGGCACCTTCTTGTAGTTACTGCTCTTCCTTTAAATGCTCTGAGTGGACCCAGGCTTTGTCCTCAGGGCTTCAGTCTCTGTGCCGACCAAGGGAGCAGTGAACTCCTCAATAAAATGGGAAATTTCCCCCAGCACATTTAGTTTTTAAGGCCCTTTTAGAAGGCTGACCATGCTGGTTGGCAGAAATGGAACTTCTCTGGGGTCTTGGTAGCGGGTAGAATTGAGCTGTGTGGCAACGGGCTTTAGCCACAGTACAGTAGAACATTGAACCTTTTACCCAGAAATCTGAGCAAAAGCCCGAAGCAGCCAAACTGTTGTTTCAAGGAGAATGCAAGCCCCTTGAGGACAGAGATGGTTTCATTTCTGTCTTTTTATCTCTAACATCTGGCATACAGTAGGCATTAATAATTGCTCAGTGAATCAACCTGAGCTAAGCTGAATATGAGCCCATGGAGATTTGAGAAATCCCCGGGGGGCCTCATTGAAGCCAAGTGGTCCATCCCCCTGCCACCTAACTGAAGAGGAGCAAGCCAGAGAGATGAGATTCCATTCTGCAAGTCAACGATTTTACAGATTGGCCCAGTTCCCAGATTAGCTTCCCAAACTCTTCCCACAGCCACTCATGTAACAATGTAATTGGCAAAATAAAACATGAATTCCTGCATGTATATTCTTTTCCTTCCCCCTTTAAATGTGTGGAGGATGGAAGAGATGAAGGTTTAAAGAGAAGCTCATTGGGACGACTCCAAGGGCTAAAGCAAATCCTAAAAATAGTGAATGAAGAAGGCAGTCTGTGTCTTGGAGAAGGAAGCTGGGGCTGCTGCGGGATGGAGTGTATATCTCCCCAGACAAGCGACTTGAATAGAAGAAAAATGACTCTCACCTGCAGAAATTGGCAGGCTGATTCCTGTGGGCTGATAATCAGTGATTTATACTTCCTCTCCTTTGTTGTCCTTTAAGGAGTAGCATTAATAGAAGCCAGGGCTGTTTTCTTTTGGGGGGGGGGGGCAGAGTTGTTTGGTACATTGTTTTGAGGAAACCTTTGTGTTTGTGGCTGCTGTCATCCCCCCTGATATTCCAGAATACTCATCTGGTGATTTCAGATCAATCAATCAATCTTGCCCATTCCTGGAGCTGCCTGTCTACGGCCATTTTTTTCTTTAGTTTAATTTCAGAGATGGCTTTGTATATCTCTCCCTGGAGGCGTACACTGACTAATCCCACCCCCTTTCTCTGTAATTAAGGGGGGGAGAGATGGAGCAGAAGGAGGGGGGTGAGGAGGAGAAGGGAAGGAAGTCATAAATAGGATTTATAAAGGGAAGCTTTTATATTGAATTCAGAGAACCACATTTTATAGAAAATGAACACTGACCCCTCTCTAAAAGGATTTGCTGGAAATTTAATTTTGAATCTGTGGCTAAAAGGTACCTTTATAAATTGGCATTTGTATTCATTCACCTTATGTTCTCTAAAGGTGGTTTCATCAGTATTGAGGGCACCGCGGCAGTCAGCTAATGGTCGTACAGCAATACGCACTAGTCAGCCACCTCTACCGTTCAGTGTATAAATAAAGAAAAACAACAAGGAATAGGGACATGTGAGGAGAGGAGTCTGGGGCTGGATGGAAATGGTTTACTTCTTCTTTTTACCATCCATCTGTTTCATCCATACCAGAAGGACCATCAAAAGCGTAACACACGCCCACTGAACAGAGCCAAAGAATGGGAGACCCAGCTCTATTCTGTCTGACTCTTTCCTCGATGCCAGATCCTTGGGAGCCAGTACATCTACCCCTATTATCACCCCTGTCGTTACTTTTCACAGAAATTATTTAAAGCTATTAAAATAATTACACACGCACACACACACACACACACACACGCACACACACACACACACTCAACCTTAGTTCAGGATTATTAGAAACATTCCTGGCAATATCTAGGGTCAGGTTTCATGATCATTTAACTTTAATATTAAAGCTATTTTTTGCTGGTGCCTCCTAGCTTCCAAACTAGATTACTCAGGGCAGCTTGGAATAATCAGTCAGGTCGGGCTCCCCCATTAGCTCTGACAGGTCAAGTTCATAAAGGAAGAAATTAACTCCACCCACTACCCCAGTTCTTTAGCCAGAACCTTCATTGCTGGCTCTTAATGTCATTTTGGGAGGCTCAGGATCCCCTCTAAAAGTATCAAGATGGTGCCTTTTGATAAAGAGGCGGTGGACAGTAGATATGGAATGAGGCATATCTTTTCAGGGTTGACCAATATGTTGATTTGATTTGTGTGCGTGTATTTATTTTATATAAAACAGAGTTCCATTGCATAGGAAAGTGACAAGCATTTTTTGTCTAAAAAAAGGGGGGGTTGGAAATTAAACTGAAAAAAAGTAGAAAATTCTTTATAAGCCTTTAAAAAGTAGTGTGGGGGGGTGGGGGATAGAGGAAGGCTCATAGGGCAGGCTGGTGGTGATAAATAAATATGTAACAATTGAAAGAAAATGCCCAGTGGGACAGGGGTCTTCCAAAGGGGGGGTGGAGAGAAGGATGAATACAGTTGTAGAACTCTAGACACTTTTTTCCATTCTCTAAATTAATCAGCTCAGTAAGAATCTGGATAAACCTTCTTTTGTTATTGCATCGATCTCTTACCCTTGATTAGAACTGACAAGAATTAGCCTGCATCGATCCCCCTCTTTCCATTTTTTGTTGTTATTCCTTTCTCAAATGACTTTATTTATGCTCATCATTCGGCTCAGTGTTCATTTCTGAAATGGTGAATCTCCTGCGGCCCCTCCATGGTGAGTGACAATCGCCTTTACAAATCCAAATGGAACTCTGATGAATAGGTCTTTGGGTTGCTAAAGCAGAAAGGAATGCCTCAGCCCCCAAGTCTAGCTGAAGCCTGTCCAGCACTTCCTTGTTGTTGCTGATGACTTATTTGTGAGTGAGGTTTCACTCTGATTGTTTTCCATAACTGCTGATGGCTCCAGATCCCATGTAGCTTCCAGCCTAGTTGACAGTAGAGCAGTCATCAGTATGTCTTGGGCTAAAGAATTTGAGCTTGTGCAAATAGACTTTTTAACTAGACTCTAAGAGAAGAGAAAAGGAACATCCCTTTGTTTCAATATTGATGTGAAGGTGTTCAATTAATGAAAAATATCTCATTCCTTCTCATCCCATCAAGAATGTTGATTTCAGAATCAATCAATCAACAAGGGGAAAGGGGAGGGAAGGGCAGAAGCATTTATAAGTGTCTACTGTGTGCCAGCCACTGTGCTGAGCAGTTTACAAATAGAATCTCATTTTAACAAGCATTTATTAAGCTCCTTCTATGTGCCAGACACTGTTTTTAGGCACTAAGGGTACAAAGCCAAAAATGAAACAGTTCCTGCTCTCAAGGGTGGATGGGGACAATTTGAAAAGGAGAAGATGAGGATGACACCCTGGTTATGATCCTGGGGGAGAGGATGATGGTGCCCCTGACAGAAATAGGGAAATCCAGTAAAGGGAGGAAAGATAATGAGTTCTATTTTAGACATATTAAATTTGAGATGTTTGGGGGATGTCTAGTTTGAAAAGTCTACTAGGCAGTTGCTGATGATGGGACTGAGCTCAGGAGAGATACTGGGTCTGGATATATAGATTTGTGAGAGGCACCTGAATACTAACTTCAACTCCACCATCATATCACTAAAGCCATCCTTTCCCTCCGTACACCAAGCTCTCAAATAAAATGTAACAAGCAGCGATTAAATGCCTATTATATTCTGAGTACTGTGTTTGGTGCAAGGGGTGGGAGAAGATACGAAGATTAGATAAGAAACTGTTCTCAGCCTCATGGAATTTAGGGAGAATGAGATATACACGGATAATTATAATGCACATAATGTATTATTCTAAGTATGTTAGTGTGGCAAAAGGAAGGGCCACAGGCATTGAGAGCTGGTTCCAAAACCCCCAGACAGAGCTGTGGTCCCAGAACTCTTCTCCAGCCCAGTCTGGAGCAGTAGGATAAGAATTTGGCTCTGTTGGGGAGGGGCCACTTGGTCTCTGCATGAGCCTGAGCTGTGGATAGAGAGGGCTCTCCCTAGGATTGAAGTTGACAAGGGCTCTGTGTGTGTATATGTGTATACATCATTACAGCTTGCACATATGTCTCTACCGGCACATTAGTGGAAGTCTACTGCACTCAGGCAACATTGTTGAACTTGATGTCAGTGAAGTATGTTGGAAAGCCCTTCAGCCAGCCCTGTTTCAGACAGGCTTGTCTGGAGTCCTTCAGGCAACGGCTTTAGCTTTGCTTAACAGGCTTGGCTCGTGGGTTAATTAAAAGTCTTGAGATACCTTTAATTGATTAACATTTCCAGGGTTGGACGTTGGAAACTTGGATCGAGAGCCTGCACTTTTGATTAGCTGACGTGAACGAGACTCACCTGCCACCATTAGAATGCTGCTTTTAGTAACCCAGAGACATTTGGAATGACCCGTAGAAATCTGAGATTTCTCCTCAGTTCCTTCTCACTCTAGTGAAAAGAAAAGCCCTATGGTGGAAACTTTAAAAACTTTTACAGATGCCTCGTGCTTTGCCTCCAATTAGTGGAGATATAAGTCACTCGACTAGACGTGGCCTTGCTTTAAGCCTGACACATATCATCCTTCTCCCTTCCTCCCTTACTGGGAAGGGGTGGCATTCACCCCACCCTACTCCTACCTCCCATCCCCACAGACACAGCAAAATGATCCCAAGTCCCAGGAACTAGATGGGTGAATGGTAAAGGTTATAGGCTGCAGTCTGTAGAGAAATCTTAAGACAAGCGGTAAAGGAAAAACTCCAGGTGCCTTTGAATTTGAGAAGGAGGGTGTGGGTGTGTGTGTGTGTGTGTGTGTGTGGTAGTGGGTTAATAGGAGCCTCTGTATAAATTAGAATCTCATTTTGATAATACCTTTTAAAAATGCAAGGATGAAGAAGGAATACTTCAATAAAAAGAACATTCCTTTTTGCCCTTTTCTTGTCTTATATGGCCCAGTTCTCTGATGAGAAAGTTGTGTTGTGATCCCAAGAATGCCAAGCAATCTGTGCCAAATTCAGATGCTTTAAAAGGCATTTAGGGGGAAAAAAAGGTGGGAGAAGAATGGAAGAGGTCCTAGCCCAGCATCTGGTCCTCCAGAGCTTTTTTCCATTTCTATACCAAGGGCATAATGATTTAACAGCAGAGAGGGAAATGTTTTCTCCCTGCTTGTCAGATTTTCCAGGCTCATAAATTAACTACATCATGGTAATGGGAGAAGGTGCCACAGAGATTCTAACCACCTGGATTCGGGACAGTGGGTTCTGTGCATTTCCCTTAGATGTGCCCTATTCAACTCAAAGCTTGACTCTGGAGACTTGGCCAGGAGGGCAATTTGAGGGCCCCCTCCCCCTATTCCATCCTGGCTACAACTATGTGTTTCTCTCCCTTGCCTTCTCTGCAGGCGACTCCACTCCAATCACCTGTACTGTGACTGCAGCCTGGCCTGGCTCTCTGATTGGCTACGGCAGAGGCGATCCATTGGCCAGTTCACCCTTTGCATGGCTCCCGTGCACCTGAGGGGCTTCAGTGTAGCTGATGTTCAGAAGAAAGACTATGTGTGCACAGGTGAGGGGACTATCTTCTCTCTTCCCCTTTCCTCCTCTCCCATGATTTCTCACTATCTCCCTCAGCCATCACATTAGAATTAGACAAACACAGACATGGAGAAAATTGTAATAGCGCTGTGTAGAAATCTTGTATAAAATTAGAGAAGGGGAAAGGAAGAGAAAGGAATAAGCAGTTGCATTTTTGTTGTTCAGTTGTTTCAGTCATGCCTGGCTCTTCCTGACCCTATTTGGACTTTTCTTGGAAAAGATATGAAATGGTTTGCCATTTCCTTCTCCACCTATATAGTGCCTGCTTATGCTCCAGGCACTGTTGTACTAAGAGCTTCTTACAAATATTATCTAATTTGATCCTCATAACAACCCTGCTATTCTACTCATTTTATGGTTGAATGACTTGCCCAGGGTCACACAGCTAGAAAGTGTCTGAGGACAGATTTGAACTTAGATCTTCCTGACTCCAAGTTCAGAGTTTTATCCACTACACCACTTAGCTGCTGTTTCTGACACATCCTCGCAGCATGACCCTGGATAGGGGACAATCTCCATGTCCCAAACAACTCTCTAGAACCATAAACTAATTCCACAGCAGTTGCAAATGGGTATTGGTAAAGGGAGTTTCCCCACTGGAGGGGTTCCTATGCCAATGTAATTATAGGTCCAGTCTTAAAAAAATATTGCATCAGTTCCATTACAAATTTTGAGAACTGTGTTGTGTAAAGATTGTACTTTTGGGGACAAGAAGGAAGTTCATTGTTTGGTAATGGAAACTGAGGAATTTGCCTTGACCTTTGATCACACCCCATTATTTATTAATTTTAGAACTGATCCCTGTGGAAAACTTACAAAAGAATGTGGACAAGAATCACACAGCATGGGTAGTCACTAAATGGTGGGTTAGTGCCCTATGTCACTGGAAAGAGTATGCCCATTTCAATGAGATCAGAGATCACTTATGCCATTGGAGGAATTTATGAAGCATCCCCAAGACAGAGATGGCACAGTGGGTTTCACAAAGTTTATTAGAGTTGTTCCAATTAACTAGGAATTTCTACTGTGGTGGGTAGACAAGATGAACCCAGCAGCTCTATATGGATACATTAAATAAAACAAATGCAAAAATTACCTAGGATATATAAGTAATGAATCACTATCTAGATCCATGATTGAAAATTGCTTGAATGTATGGAAACGGTAGGTGGTTCTGGGTCAAATGGAGAAGACTTTCTGGAAGTAGGTGGCTTTAAAAAAAAAAAAAGGATTCTCGTGTTTTTTTGTTTTTCAACTCATTGCTGACATCTGCTACTTCCACACAAGCAGCTTCTATTCCTAATGGCAAAGGTCCTCCAGGTCCCTTCTGAAAGCCAGAACATTCAATAGTGAGATAATGTAGACTTTCCAGTTAATCCAGCTGTGGAAATAGCTGCCCTCTGGTTTAGCTGTCTCTAACAGTCTCTAGTGTCTTGGTGCTAAGACCAGGCAAAGGGAGTAACAGAGTTAGCCACATGAATAAGTCAGGTGAGAGACAGAAAAGCAAAACCAAGGAGTTTATCCATTAATGGAATCAATTGTTACCTAAATAAGAAACTACCCTCTTACGATGTCATCACTGCTTTTGCACTAGGTACTGAGAGTAGTAGTAATGATGATGACGGTCATTAGAATAGCTGCAGCCACGTTTATATAGTTCTTTTAGGTTTACAAAGTGCCTTTTTTAAGCAGGAATATTATCTGTTCTTTGCAAGCTCAGTGTAGATCCATGCATAATATACAAAGAAACATAGGGATTATTGCGTTACTTAGAATTAATTCTACTTTTCTTAGGATCAGAGAAACAGTGGACCATAGTAGAGAGAGGGTCAGCCTTAGAGCCAAGAAGTCCTGGGTTCAAGTCCAGCTTATGACTTGCTATCTGACCATGGACAAAGCAGTTAACCTCTCAGTACCTCCAGGTCACTCTCTAAGACTACCACTTATAGATAATTAATCAATCAATAAGAATTTATTAAGTGCCTACTAAGTACCAGGCCCTCTTGAGAAAGAGCCTTGCATCAGTGGAGAGAATTTCCCCCACCAAGAATCCCTCCCAATGAACTCACAGGTCTAGACAAAAACAAAACAAAGCAACAATCTTTGTTCTAATTGCTTTTTAAGTGCCTTCAGCTTCATCAAATGTCTAATCTCTAAAGAGATTTTAGCATTTCTCATAGCAACACCTAAATAAATTCCTGTATACACTAGTAATTCCCACACCCACTTAGAAATAACTACCCATCAAATACATATAATAAAACCTTTTTATCACACAGGCATCAAATTCAGATATAGTCACTATAATTACAGTAATTATTAGGCAAAGGGTACAATATCTACATAAGTGCCAGTGAAAGAAATAATTATACAGTGCAGAAACCATACAAGGGCTAGTGAGAAAAACTAATTAGAGAGAATGTTAAAACACATCATTATGGTAGTGTGCCAAATTTAATACAGCACAGTCAGATGAACACCGTGCTGTCTCAGGTTTTCTGTCAGAACATACTATGTCATTGCCACCCAGGTCACAGGCAAAAGACTGTAGTGAGAGTCCCCAGACCAGAATGAGAAGCAAGCTCTCTTAAGTCTCCAACATGAGCGTTCCTCCTTTTGCAGATGTCTTGGTATGATGACGATGTCTAGATACAAGCTTTACAACTACCTTCCTTACTCATAGTAATTAACCTTACCAACTCATGAGCTTCTCCATATAGCCCCTTGATAACGAAGCCAGGTGACACTTAGCACATGAGAATTAAGTTCTTAGACCCCAGATGCCAGGAGGGTATTAATCCTACCTTTTCTCAGCCGCAGTCCACATTTAAGCAATACCCACTTTGTCACCTGCAGAACCATCTCAGGGATTCTAAATTAGCAGTGTGACATCTTGGTACTTCTGTACACACCAGAGATTTACAATTCTCTCAGTGCCTTTTAGGGGTGATGGAAATGGACTGGCATAAAAAGGTGAAGAATGTGCATGCAAGTGAAAATAGGAGACCCAGGCCATGACACAACTGTGTTAAAAATCTAATGCCAGCTCTGAGTAGAGGTCAAAGTGACTGGCAGCTATGGTAGACTGGGTGAAGACAGCATTATCGGCCTTAATGGTAATGGACCACCAGAGGCTGAGGGTTTAGGTTTGTGGGATTTTTTTTTAAACCTTCAGAGCCACAAAAGCTGCATGTTATTACAGCTCCACTAACATTTCACTGGAGAAGATTTCCTTTTGGAAAAGTGAGAACAGAACTTCTCTGGGAAAGTTCATTTTCTTCTGTCAGGGGCATCTGATAGGCCAAGGGGATGGGAGCTGGGAGAGTCAATTAAGCCATCCCAGGAGTGCAGTTTTGTCCCTGGAACCCTCATCACTGCAGCAGAATAAACCACCCTGAGCCCTTACATGGTAATGAGAAATTCACCTCACACATTACTCAGCAGATAGGGAGAAAGCTTTATCTTGCTCAGTGGGCCAGGGCCCTCCTGTCTCTATGTTCTTGTTATCTCTTTGAATTCAATCCAGCAGTCTGGTTGGTGACTGACCTCTTCTCAGAAGCCCAGAATGTGAGTTTCTTATCTCTAGTCAAGCTAGAAATTTGCTCACAGAGCACTTCACTTTAATTCCAGTCCCCCTGACAAATGCAGCCTGCCATTTAAAGGTACTTATTTTATGTACTCAGGGGAGGTGATTGGGGGTTGGTAGAAAGGTTGTCTCAGACTCTTCTTTTTTAAAGGAGTTTTTGCAGTTGTCCAGATATTCCCTCCCCATCCTCCCCACTCTCCATGTTTGGCTTCCTTCAGATAAAGTTAAAGGAAACTCCTTCTTAATTTTTCTTAGTTAAAAATGAAATGTAAAACCCTAGACCTGGAAGGAACCTTGGAAGGTTCTGCCCTTTGGAAGGACCAAATCCTACCATGGAGGAGGGGGCTTCTCCTGTCAAAGGTACATGGAAGTAGATGATGCCTTGGTGACTAACTCCAATATTATTTGACCTACAGTTTCTTCCTTTACTCTATCCTAAATGATTGTGGTAGAAAACTACCTAAAGGAAGTAAATGGGGACTGTATATTAGGTTTCCTGAGCACTTTATTACAGGAGAATCCCCACCTTTTTTCCCCACAGTCATAGTTTAAAAATCTAAAGTCAAGACTTCCGAGTTCTTGGCCAGGCTCTGCTTAGGTCACTTCTACCTTCAGCATCTTTGATTCCTTAGACATAAATGAGAAGATTGAACTAAATTATCTCTAAGGTACCTCTTAGCTTTAAAATTCCACGTTCTTTCCCTCCTCTAGATTCTTAAAACACTTATTATCAATGTAAGCAGTGGAAAGAATGCCGGATTTTTAAATCAAATAACCTGAGTTCATATCTCAGATCTGCTAGATTATTTTGGGCCAGTCATTTGATCTGGGGTTGGGGATAGGAGGGTGACATTTACTCATCTATAAAATTAGGAGGTTAAGCTAGATGGCCTAAAGTTACTTCTGACTCTAAATCCATGAGGCTATGATCACTTTTGGCAATTATCAAAAACCACCTTACATTTTTGATTCCCTTTTTTTGTATGTATTTGTCTTATCTTGTCTCCCTTACTTAATCTAAATTCTTTGTGAAAAGGGGTTTATCATATAATTTTTTACATCCCCTAGCCCTGGACCTAGCACATACTAGGTACTCAGTAAATACCTGTTGATTGATTGATTGATAAAAATAGAATAGGCAATGTCCTTGTGTGTGTTTTATTCAATTTTTTTTTTCTGAGACCAGATACTAAGGCTAAAAAGAATTAAGAAGGTGAACCTTGACTAGGCACAGCCTCCTTGGTAGATTTTAATTAATGTGCTATAATTGGACATCACAAGAAAGAGATTATTAGGTTTATTTAGCCATTTCCAAACTTATAATGCCTCTGGCATTTAAATCATATTCATTTATATTCTTTCCATAATTGCTCCCGCGCCATTGT